GTGTGTGTGTGTGTGTGTGTGTGTGTGTGTGTGTGTGTGTGTGTGTGACTGCTGTGCATTTCTCGCAGAGGAGTTCATGTTTGTGGTTTGTTCTCCCTGTGAGACCCTCAGGGCTTCATTTAAATACCTTGTGTTGTTCTCTGATGGGTTTTTATATATATTTTCAGCACCCCTCTTGTTGGATGGCACCAGCTGTGCCACAGAAGCTGCAAGAGAACAAACACAAACAGGGTTTTGTAAAGGTTACCGACTTTCAGATAGTCCTGGATACTTTKAATTTGGCCTCTCAGACATGTCCACTTGAGTCATTTTATTAAGCTCACACCAGTGCTATCATGGTTAGTCACTTAACTAKACTCAACAGGAGCGAATAGGCTGCTAACATAAGGAGAAAACTTTAARTGACATTTAAAAGACTGGACCACCAAATGTTACAAAAACTGTTCAGAAGTATTGTGTAGGGAAATAAGGGTGGTTTAAAGGTTTTTGCACAGGATTGTTCATATAATTTATCAGAGACAAACTTAAAATGCTGTAATTTTTATGTTTTACAGTAGAAGTTAGTTCAGAAATAAAGGACAGCATCTCACTGAAATTTACCTACATATAAATTGAGGTGCATATCTCTTCTTTATTTATACAAAAGACATGTTAAACGTATAGAGCTAACTTTGCCACTCTTTTTGCAATAAAAAAAAAGAGTCAACCAAAAACCATTAGGCGCTAACGGTGCACCAATTGCTGTTTTCAGGCCACTTTAAAAAGCCTGACCTGCCGATTCCAATTTTGGCTGATACAGATGTTAACATATACAGATCTTTATGTATATTAGGGGTGCAACGATACAGAAAATTCACGGTTCGGTTAGATAATTTAGTCTTACAGTTCGATATTTTTTCAATACAAAAAAGAGAAATTTCCATGCCCCTTTTAATTTGTAATTTATTTAAATTAATTATGAACATTTGTTTAACCTCAAAAGTACAGTTTTTTAATTAAATGTTGCTGGAACAGCAAGTTTCTCAGCGGATCAGCACTCGACAATGCAGCGTAGGTGGAATAGTCGAACACAGATCCACTGATCCTTCAACACAGAGCATCTTCAGAAGACAAGTTGATAAAGTAAATTTTAAAAATCTGTATTGTTCGATACAAAGTGTGTGTTGAACCTAAAGCGCTGTTCGAATACGGGTACATGTATTGTTGCACCCCTAATAAATAAATAAATAATTCTCAGGTGTTAAGTTCACAATACACCTTCAATGTTCCAATAATATTTTATTGAAAAACAAACAATAAGATCAGCTTCTCATATCGGCCAATCATGGTCATCCAAAATTAAGGAAATCAGGGCCAGTCGATTGGCTGGCCATTTTAGTCGTGCCATTTCAGCAAGTGATGTAATTAATAAGCTTTATGTGATTTAATCAGCCTGGGAGTGTTTGTTGTTGTTTGTTTATTTAAGAAGGGGCAATGCAGATTACAGAAAATGCCAGAATTAGCCATGGAGGCTAGTTTTCATCTGTAGTCCCTCAATGGATATAAATACAATACATACAAAACAGCAAGTTACTTTCATTAAAAAAAACTAAAATTATGACAAAAGAATGATTAAAAATAACAAAAGGCCATTTAGCACAACAACAATTCAAGGCAATACATTAAAAATACAAAATGGATAAAATAATCCCATACTCAGTGTCTACACAGCTGATTATCCAGGAGCCATGATTTGAAGGTATTTGAGGATAATTTGAAGGATCCTCTGGTATTTTATTCCAGTCAAGTGAAGCTTTTACTGAAAAAGAATTCTGACCAAATGTACCTTCTCTACAAGAGGTACAGCAAGATCTCCTCTTACAGTAGCTGTGTTACTGTGTTATTTTTTTCAGAATCGCCATCAAAACCACATTAACTCAATTTAAGCGTCCAGTATGGTCCAACTGCTCACAAACGTCTGACCAATCACAGAATAATTTTGTAGGCTGAGTGGGGGTAAAAACTTTAGCCCGGGGTTGTGCCTTGATGTGGTGGGCGGGGCTGAAACAAACACAATTTTTGTCATGCAACTACGTCAATGAGAGCTGTTTTCTCAGGTCTAGAATGTGCGAGATGGCAAAAAATTCATGTCACGATATACATTATGATGGGTGGTGGTAACGATATATATCACGATATAAAAC